CCCAAATTAAGTTTACAACTAGGTTATGAACCAAATACAAATCTCCTAGACAGAAATTTTGGGAAGTGTCCTGCTAATTTACACTTAGGGTTACCATCTCAACTATTTCTATATTGCGATATTATTGATCCTCAGATTGTGGGTGATGTTATGACTCCGCTATTAAGAGTCATTTCATTAGATCCTTCAAAATACATTTATGGTGCGAATAAAATGCATATTTTCTCTCCACCTCACTACTTACCCGTTATGCGAAGAGAGTTCGATACGCTGGAAATAGATATAAGATCGAACACAGGACAAAAAATACCATTCCAGTTTGGAACAGTGTGTATTAAACTACATTTCCACAAATTAAAATAATGTATTCTCCTCATGATCATCATAAATGTCCATATGAAAATTATTATTCTCATCAAGCTGGATCAGGAGTTGGAGTAATTTATAAGGGTTCACCATACCAACGTGGTCATGGTATTGGAAGCTTCTTAGGAGGGTTATTTAGATCAGTTTTACCTTTACTTTCAAGTGGTGTTCGAGTGGTTGGTAAGGAGGCATTAAACGCTGGAGTAGGACTTTTATCGGATATGGTTCAAGCCCGTCCTATGGAAGCCTCAATAAAAGATCGTCTAAAGCAAGTTAGTACGAACTTAAAACGAAAGGCTGATGACAAAATTGATCGTTTTAACATGACAGGCACTGGGTATATAACTAAGAGAAAACGGTTGGCCTCGTTCATTCCACCACTAACAGCGAAAGCGAAAGCTACGAAAAAACTAGGTCTAAAATCAAAAAACATCAAAGATATATTTCAAATTAAGTATGTCTTTCCTTCATAATCATTCTTGTGAGTGTGTTAAGTCAGAATTAGATTTGTTTGCATTACCATCTACACAAACAAGCATTGAAAATGGATTGTGGATTCACTATAAACCAATTTCATCTCTTGCTGATGATGGGCCTATCGAGTTTCAAGTTCCTGGAACAGGTGATGACTACATAGATTTGTCTCATACATTACTCCACATAAAGGCAAAAGTATTAAATCAAGATTCAACAAACTTGATATCAGCTACAGCAGTAGCGCCTGTAAATAATTGGTTGCATTCACTTTTTAGTCAACTCGATGTTTATTTAAACCAAAAACTTGTATCACCACCTAATAATACCTATGCCTATCGAGCATACATGGAAACCCTTTTAAACTATGCTCCTGGTGCTAAACAATCTCATCTTACTTGTAGTCTATGGTATGATGATACAGCGGGAAAAATGGATTCCACAGATGGTAAAAACATTGGATTTCTTAAAAGACAGGAATTAGTTAATGAAAGCAGGGAAGTAGAAATGATTGGTCATCTTCATGGTGACATTTTCAATCAAGATAAATTTTTAATTAATGGTGTTGAAATGAGTGTCAAATTAGTTCGGTCAAGAGAAAGTTTTAATTTAATTGCTGGGTCAAATGATGTAAAGTTTAAAGTTTGCATTACGGACGCAACTCTTATTGTTCGAAGAGCACGAATTAATCCAAGTGTATTACTCGCTCATCAGAAAGTTTTAGCTTCTACCACTGCTAAATATCCTATTACTCGTGCTGAAGTTAAAGTTTTAACAATTCCATCGGGTGTTCAAGGAAAAACTCTTGATAATATATTCTTAGGACAGGTACCCAAAAGATGTATTATAGGTTTTGTGAATAATTCTGCATTTAATGGTTCACTAACTAAAAATCCATTTAACTTTGAAAATTATGGTATTAACTCTTTCAGCTTATATATTGATGGTCAACAAATACCATCCAAAGCTTTGCAACCATCTTTTAATAATAATATATTTACATCAGCATATCATACACTATTCTCGGGGACTGGTATTCACTTTCTTAATGAAGGAAATGCAATCTCACGTGAACAGTATGCCAAAGGTTACTGTCTTTTAGCATTTGATTTAACTCCTGATTTATCAGCTAACTCATCAGCCCATTGGAATCTCATAAAGCATGGTAGTGTAAGATTAGAAGTACGATTTGAATACTCACTAATACAAACAATTAACTGTATTGTTTATGCTGAGTTTGATAATATTATTGAAATAGATAAAAATAGAAATGTTACTGTAGACTATAGTAGTTAGGATTATAATGTGTATTGTGTTTTAGATATATGTGTTACGCTTAATGCATTTTGTATGTGTAAACATTATAAAATTTAATAAAACAAAATGTATGCAATGTACTATTTTTTATTTATTTTTAAACCTTCCCTATTTAACCTTATACAATATACTACTTATAATTAAAGTACAGAAGAGAGTATGCGAGCATCATCATACGATGAATCGAACAGTTCACGCTTCTCCATTTCATCACAAACTTTTATATCATTAGGTAACATATACTATTAGTTTGATTAGTTTATAAACATCTTTTGAATCCTTTATTTGTATTAATATGACTAGTCCACTAATGACTGATTGTCATTGTTAAAAAAGTATTTTTTTACTTTTTCACTTTCTGCTATTGTCTTTGTAATATTGTATACGAGACCGTTTGTGCTGTCGTAGATGCTATCCTTATAATCCTTTACGTAATATTTAATCCTCGTGGTAGCGTGCTTCCAGTGATCACTAGTTGGAATCTTGGATAGTTTCTTCATATCATACATTTCAATTTTTATGAGATGCGTTGCTTGGTCTCCGTCGTCAGAATTTGTAGAGATGTATGATACGCCATCTTTAACAGCTCGTGCCACAGTCGACGATAGCAGCTTCCTCCTTTTTATTTTTGGTGCCACTTCAAAAAATTTATCGATCGGTTGCGATTTCCTTTTTCCACCATCGCCTGTGTTATTAACAACGATGTCATCACTCTCTTCTTCGTGTTGGGGAGAGAGAGGCGAGTAGTAAAACTGTTTATAGGTATTTACATTATCGTCTGCGAAGCTGAATGATCTCTGCAACAACAGAGTTATCACGTTAATATCTATTTGATTAATCTGACACACACACGAAAGGAAACAACAACAGAAATACAAGTAAGTTTGTCAATAGAATAAACACTTACCTCCATGATGCGTTGAAGTAGGTAACACAAACGTAGTATTGGTAGACGTATACAATTCACTGTGGTCAAACGACCATACACTGATTGCATGACTGCAATTGTTCCATCATATATAGTCCATTCTTATCTAAAACATGACACACACATACACATCCCTAAGTACAACGAAACTCTATGAATCAACAAACTTATCTCACATCACAACAGGCATGAACCTGTTTTGTGACTAACACAAGGAATGCGATTTAATATTTACAAATCACTATCATTGAACATTCCTATGACAACCATTGAATAGATTGGTACTGTAATAATCTGCTAATAACAGTAATATCATGGATACACTAGAATTACAAAAACATATGAAAAAGATTCATTCCAGTCTAGAAAATAATGTTTATGCTGCTAATAGACTACCTATGTACACACATGTACCAACGTATATAATATGCAATTTGGATGCGGATGATAAACCAGGGTCACACTGGGTAGCCATACATATCGATACAAATGGTATCGGCCAATATTTTGATTCATATGGAAGAACACCTGAGCGATATCATCTTCAGTTTTTGAAAAGGAATTGTAAGAGGTGGGACTGGAATGTTGATAGGATTCAGAATGATTGGACTTCGGTTTGTGGCGAATATTGCTTAATGTATTTGCTATTTAAGTTTCAGGGATGTTCAATGCATAGTTTTACGAACATATTTACAGGAAACACGCTGTACAATGATAATTTAGTGGATGAGATGTTCCACTCATATTTTGTAAAAAATAGTAATAAAAGTTCGAAATAAAAATGAATGATTGTGTTTTATTGATGATATAGAAAATCAGACAAAATGAAGTTAACAATGAGTAATAGATAAGAACGCCAAACGACCGTAATGAGAGAGTTCGAAGCACAATAGATAATGATAACGATAGGCGAACAATGGGACGTTAAGTAATGTAACGATAAGCAAACAAAGGAACGTTAATGAGGGTTCAGAAGCTGATTCTGATTTTCATAACTCCAGAACCACGCATCCTACGCTAAAACGGACTGCAGAAACGTGATCAGAGCATGCCAAAACCTAGGATAGCATACCAAACTTTTTTTTTTTTTTTTTTTTTTTTTAGGTTTGGTGCCACTCAGATTTTGGATTCCGGGTGATTAGCTGGTTCTGGCGCAAGCGCCAGAATAATCACCACTACTCACAATAATAAGATTTAAAAAAATTAAATCTTTGTCAAAGCATTCAAGAGTATTCTATTGAATTTGAATATTTGCATAGTGCCTTTAAGATGACTCAAGAAATTACGTCTAAAATTCTATCTACTAGAATAGATGGTAGTTAGTACCAAAATGAACACACTGAGACTGTCTATTAACGGTGTGGGGGGAACATAACTACACTATCTTTATGACCAAGCTTATAATAATGTCTGTTTACATCCGTTCAACTGCTGACCTGTCACTATATTATCGTTAAATCTTTCAACACATTACAATATTGGACATCCGCCAAACAATTGCTACAATCTTGCTGTTTAACTTTACATTCATATTAAATTTTAATTTATAACCAATTATTTCAACGAGGTTTTAATTAAATTGCCCAAGCTATCATTGTAGAATAGGAGATCTATAAAATATTGTGAAGAACACGCATTATGACAATTTGAAATAAATGGATTCTCATCAATTAATTCGCTCCGTCTTATCTAAGGACTTTCACTAGCATTCTATCTTTAAACAGTGAAATTATCTGTACCCATGTGCGATTAATCCACTAACAGAAATGATGGCTAGATCATCTACACTTTCGGGAAACTAACTGAAATCCCTTAACCAAGCTCCTTCTCACTAAGAATGTTTTTGTTTCAATATACAATATACATAATATAGATAACTTAAAAGTTATGTAAAAAGAAATTGAACTGAACTTACATTCATCAATTCCTTCCCTTCTTCGGTGGAGGTCAACGCAATTAAAGCGTTGCCGCACTCCCTGGGACACGTGGATGAAGCAGTGGGTTCAGAAAGCACAGCTTCGCACATCATCATGTAGTTGCCAAGCGCGGCGCCGCAGCCGGTGCGGTAGGCACAGCGCGTGCGCGCCTCGTTGCACGACATCGCCCCACCGACCGCTGCGCACGCGGCGAGCAACGCCGCTACTAGCCACATCACCTGCAATAATTGAAGAACACATTAGATTTGCAATTAAGTTAAGTCTGAAACTCCGAATGTTTTATTGCGAACGTTACGCTTCTGCAGGCTTGTCATAAGGCCCATGTAATAGCTTAAGGACGCTTTAGATTTTTAAGTGCAAAATTGTACTTGATTAGGTAACTCACAATCAGTCAGTCGTTTTTCAGAAAGGAATCACTTCTGAGTCGGGTTTTCTTATAAGTAGTCTTTTTATTAAGCGATCTTTACAAAATACTGTTGTTCATATAATAGTCGTTTTCTTTTTGAATAAGGCACTTTCTTTATTTTGGGTATCCCTATACTCATCATGTACTGATGTCAGTCAAGAGACAGGTATGTGCGCAAAAAATCCTAAAAACAAACTCATGTGTAACTGCAGCGTGAAAATCGACCGTAATTTTCTGCATAATTAGCACCATTTTAACTCACAAACTTTACTCTGAAATACCTAACTGTAAAATCATAGAAAATTTACAAAAAAAACAAACCACCACAACCATGACTTTCGTAGTCAATAATTGAGCAAAAGCGAGCTGCTCTTAACTAAACAATAAAGAAGAAAAACAAAGCAAAGGAGTCGCAGTTGAAATGCAAATCCCGTTTTACAAAGCATTGACTACAATGTAAAGATAATGAAGTCGTTTCCGACATGGTGTTAACGTTTGTGCTTCTCTCAGTTTGTCTCGGGAACTATCGGCGTGTCTCGCGATCTCTCGGTAACTCTGGGCCCTGGGCAACTCGCGCTTGAGACGTGTTCTTGGAAGAAGGCCCGCTCCGTAAACAAACAGAATCGCGTCACGTCCACTCGTCACTCGCTACTAACTTACACGTTTACCGTAACATTGAGATAGGGTTGTCAAATGTTTTATGGCCCAGTTAGAAAAAAAGTTCGAAGTGATTTCCTTTTAAAAAGCTTTAGCTTTATCCTAGCTTACATAATATCCTATCTTATTTTTACCTTTGAATCGATATTTCAGTCTTTTTATCAAAACATTAAAGTAATAGGCATAATCATATTAAAGTAATAAGCGCATAGTAAAGTAATAGGTAAATCTCATTCATTACAAGATACATTTTAGAAAAAAACTGTATAGTTCGAATTAAAATAATAATAAACTACTTTTTAAAAAACGTGCTCTAAAAATTTTTGACATCCCTAATACAGAGACAAGAGTGTAAGGTCGTCGCCCGGCGAAGAGTCCCCGATGCAAAAAGAAAACAAACTGACAACTTAAGATGTCCACCTTTCTCGGAGCAGCAGCGGGTGTAACATTACAATAACAATTGTTACCTGCGTTAAATCATAACCCTTACGCCTATACAAATAAAGACTACGACACAGTAGCTACGGATGAACAGAGTTAGCTACGTGAGCTGTTTGCTTTAGTAATTCAATTACATAATAGAATTACAATCAAGTCCAATGTTTGTCGTGAACTTAGCGTTAATTTTTTAAGAGTGTGACTAGCTAAGATTTAGATGTAAAATAAACTCCTACTGCTTATAATTCTCCGAAAGAAATGTAATGCATCATCACGGACGTGTGTACAGTTCATCCACGTCTTTTAGTTTTCGTGTGACACTATTTCATTCCGTATATGTTTATGCAACGCCTCGAACCCGCTCGACCGGCCAGAGACCAGAATGGAACTGTCGTTGCCGTAACAGTATCATTATAGCACATGACTCGTGCAGTTAAAACTGGAAAGCGCATTCCAAAACCCAGGTCAATTCTAGGTAAGAGATTGTGTACGTGAGATGACAAGAGCTAATGGACTCAGGACTGGGCAGGTCGCGATAAAATCAAACGTCAATATTACACAAACGGAGTCGTGAAACTCATGGTCGTGACGGCTAACCCAACACAATGTCTTTACCACCAAACTCGGAGCCGGCGTGGTAAACTAAACATTATCTAAATCGAAATCCGGGAAAGGCATCGCTGCGACATTTCTGGACTCGTAATCCAAACGGCGAGCTGTTAGCGGGCAGGTGTGAAAAGCGCGTAGTAATTGCTCACATCACACACAGTAAACAAACTTACTCAGTCCGGGAATACACGTGAAAAATGTTATACTATACACACTTCAATTTCAAATACATGTTCTAATAAAATGTGTGACAGATATATTCTAATTGTTTGCGAAAACATAGACAACTCAAATAGGAAAATACACTGAACACATACATAAAATGTAGGTAGGTACTTAAGCAAAGATTCTTAATCCCAAAAACGGTAAAATAATTTATAGACGATGGCTACATCCATTATAATGTGATTTAACTTCTCCAAACAAACATAAATTGGATTAGAGAATGCACTAAGTTACGTTTAGCATAAACACAGCGCGATGTAGTGCGGTGGTTGCGCGCGCGCCGCTCTAACCAGAAACACAAACAAGTCGTGTTCCCGCGCAGCTCATTATTGCATGTCGTTAGGCGCCAACTAAGAGGACAAATAGCTACCGAACATGTTCACAGACCGTACTGCATGCTTTTAAAATAAGAGTTTTTGTGTGAAATTCCATCAAAATACTATTTTTTACAAGTTCACTCGTGACCCTTGGGTATATATCAAGGGTTGAATCCTGGATCAGGATTTGCTAAGAAGATTCTACCTATTTATATGATTGGACTCTGAATGCACTTCATATGTTAAAACCACTTCTATTAACTAAAGTAACTAATATTTGCTGAGCGTGTATGAAATGGCAACATACCATATCTCATATCTCTTGCATCATACAGTCATATAAAATCGCTTTGAAATCCTTTTATCACATATGTAATAACAAAAATTACAACTTAAGGTGCGTTATTAAATACATTTGCAACTTTAATAACAATAATGGCACAACCAGTTTTCCATGAAGTAAATCCGTTCAGTACCTAATGACGGAGTGGAGTAGGCATTCCACGGTTATTTCCTCATGTTGCAAGCAGCGGGATTTTAAGCATAACGGTGTAAAGTACATTTTGATTTATTATCTGTATATCTAAACTAATGGTGGGGCTGTATGCCTGGGCACCAATGTCTACAGTGCTGATTTACGATGGCCGTTTTTATGGACTCCGTGGCTATAGAGACGTTTCACGACGCATAATGTTCGATTATAAATGGTGGTATAAAGCCGCTTTCTAAAACTTGTGCACCTGCTTGCATCGATGTACAATTGATGGCCTTATACTGTCCAATAGTTATGTATAGACATAAAATGTATATGTACATATGTATGCGGATTAAAATCATTAGCAAATTATTCCCTCTTAGTTTCTGTATTTTTGGTATCTAAATACTTACTATTTGTTGAAAACACGTGTCTTAATTGCAACATTCCAAACATCTATTAGGTATAGACTATTATTTCTTAATGAGTACTTTTCCAATAAAGACGAAGATTTTCCGCAACAGTAAAGTAAACAATAAATACTTCAGATGTCTATGCGGCATTTTAAATTAGGTACGTATTATTATAGCGCAGTAAGTAACTACCATAATCTTAGACTATTTATCATCCAGTGATAGTAGTAGTTGTACCATAGTACCGTAGTAGTACCGCAGCCCCCGCCCGGAGCAGGAGAAGGAACGGGAAGGCTTTTAGTCATTAAGGGCGTGTAAGCCAAGTGATAACCAAGTGCCGCGACCGCCTTTAATTCTTATTAACTATGTTAGTAATCAAGAAAATCATTTCATCAATTCTAACTCTGCGAATTTGTCTGTAACTAATTAGTTTTTTTTATTATAGTAAAAAAATTAAATGTAAAAAACCGTTAATACAGTCATAATATTGAAAATCATCATCGGGTCTTTCAACAGAATACGATTTTGACTAGATAATATCATCAACTAAAACATATATTTTTGTTTAAATTTATAAACACTGTAGTTTTTGTCTCCGAATCTTTTAAAAAACGTAAATTCGGGCCCACCACGCCTTAGGAGTCTGAAACTCTCTCTCGTCTCGTTCCGCCCTCAAAAATGTTGGCATGCTAAGTGACCTATTGTTTGAACTTAAGTTTTTATAAATAAATGTAAAAGCTTCAGATTTTATCTTTCACGAGTTTAGTCTAAATCAGGAAAGGTAAAGTATAACCAAGTAAAGAGTGAGTAAAATATTCGTGACCAAACCGAGTTTACACGACGGAGGTCTTATGTTGACACTATTGAACTTAACGAGTAAAAGAGATCAAACAAATTAATTTAAATCCTACTTATTATTAAATAAATGCTCCACAAGATCGTAAAATCTTGTATGTTTAAACAAAACAATAATTCTTGATTTCGCTTTAATTGTAATATAATTATAAGCAAGTTGTAAATTACAAGTAATTTTATGAGCACATTAGTTTACGAGTATAAACCAACTCAGTGCAAAGTCCTTTACGACCAATTTATTATTGTAAACAACGTTCATTCAACACTTCGCTATCATTTTACAGTCCCATTAATACAAAATCACAACTAAACACATCTTACGCAACTTAAATGAACTAATTACACGAAAACAAGTGATTTAGATAAGTTATCATTTGTTTCTTAACGTACAGTGTAACAAGACCTCTTAATTGAACCGCGTAAAGTTATCGTAAGATGAATATTAGGACGTTTGATGTGTCAATTTACATTTGCATGTTGACTTGAGTTGGTGCAATTTCAGATATGGAATTATTTCTTTTTAACTTAAGCTATTTCCTTACAGTCAAGTTGAGAGGGGTCATTGGTTGAATTTTGCATTTTAAGATAAGAAAATAAATTCTTGGAATTAAGACGTTATGAATAATCTAAAACCTAGTTCTGGAGAATTTAAACAACTTTCAAGATAACCTATGACCCACACCATTACCTATATATTTAAATATTCCAAAAAAAAATTAGGTAATAAGGATCTAAACGTTTGAATAGAACGTTGACGAGTATTTTAAATCTCGGACGCAAACCATAGAGCTATAATTATATTTCGTAGAATACATCATGGCCT